TTACTTATATACTTTATCTTTCCGTTCTGTGCTTTCTACTGTCTTTTGCTGTCAGTCTATTGGACAAAACTCCACTCTCTCTTATCATTTAATCATCGGTATTATTTTAGGAGTAAAATGACTATAGATTCTCATCCCAAGATAAGTAATGGGAGACCATGCACCGTAGTCACCAGAGCTTCAGCCAAACTAAGCAAACAGGTGAATAGTATGACACCTATATCCACAGTAGGCCTTGAAACAAACAGGAAGGCCAATAAGAAACGTTCACGACGTCGCAAGACGACTACAACGTTCCCCAAGAAGGCAGACGATTGCAAGGTCTGCAATTCTATTGTCGAACAAGCAGATTCTGCTTTCGAATGTAACTTTTGTAAGCAATGGGTACATTGTAGATGTGACACCGGGGTACCAAAGGTATATTACGATTTTATGCGTAAGAACCCATGCCCATGGTTCTGGTACATTTGCCCAAGTTGCCGTCCTAATGCAGCCTCGTGTAGTTCCTCGAAAGCTACAGATGTCATAGAGATATCAGGAAAAAACGTGAAACGTTTCACTCCCACCAACTCAGAAAACAGCACAATTGCATGTAAATCGGGGATACCAAAATCCACACCGGTTATACTTGCAATTCCTGCCATAACCGCCCCAGACACAGAGGTTGAAGCACCAAGGGTACCTGTCGCCGGGAAAAGACCCTTACCGTCCACCAGTAAAAGTGGCCACAGCACTGCGACACATAATAATACCCAGTTGCACCAGATGAAACAAAACGGTCTTAAGGGGGATGACAAATGTGCGAGGACCGAACCTAAATCCACGGTCAGTCGATCAAACCGCGTTATCCTCTTTAATGTACCAGACTGTAGCAGTAGTCTGCTGGAAAACAGGGCCCTGTTTGATCAGGAACAGTGGTCCAACTTATGTAGCACACTGGGTCTGGACATCCAACCAGTAAAACTGTGCAGATTGTATAAGGGCACTGCTGCTCCTCAAGGCAAACCATCCCCACTGAGGGTAACACTAGGCTCTGCCGAAGATGCCGAAAAAGTTTTATTGACTTCCCAAGTCCTTTCTATAGGGAGGACCTGCAATATACGTGTTAGGCCAGATAGGCCATGGAAGGAAAGACAGATGGCGAGGGAGTCGCCAGAGCTTATTCCTTCTGCCTCCATGGTTGTTCACGGCATTCCTGAACTGGAAACTGGGAACGCTTGTGAGAAGCACTGTCACGATGTCCAGCAATGGAGATGGTTGGCATCCCAGATGGGTCTGGGAAGTTCAGGGGCTGTCTCTATTTTTAGACTGCCTCGACCCACTCACCTAATGTCAATTAACACCCCACATCTGTTAGCTGTTAAGTTTAGCTCCCGAGACCACTTGACTACTGCTCTCCAGAGATGGTACGAGACCAAAGACAAGGTCAGCAGACACATTCGCTGCTGCGAGAGCCGGCCTCGTACCCAAAGGAGAGAGCAAAACGTTGTCATAGAACATCCCCAACCCCTAGTCACAATACAGCGGTGCAGCACGGACGATGATAGCCAGTGCCATCCAAGTGCTCCGATTGAATCAGAAGAAAAAAACTCCAACAGGCCGGTTCCCGGGGAATCGGCCAACTAGTTCGTAGGATAACTCCTCAACCGACAGCCCACATCACGTCAACCACCCCCCAATACGGGGACGTGGTGAGACTGACTACCAGTTGCCTGTTCAGTAATGTGAGAGGTCTAAGAGGCAAAATAGCTGAACTTAGATACCTACAATCACAGCTGAACTCCAAAATCATAATACTGACGGAAACCTGGCTAACCCCTACGGTGGCAGACAGCGAAGTCAGTATAAATGATATGGTCCTTGTCAGGCGAGATAGGGATCTGAAAGAAGGAGGTGGAGTCGCCATATACGTCGACAAACAGCTCAGATGTGTCCATGCAATCGACCCTCCCCTCATTGAGCTCCCTGACTCCATATGGTGCCATTTCACCGTTGGGTACTGTAAGTATCTAGTGGGCAGCATTTACAGATCACCTTCATGTGGAGCAGACCACAACCAGGTACTGCTGAATGCAATTTCAGCGACACATGACCTGGGTTATGATCAAATTGTCATAGCTGGAGACTTCAATGCCCCATCTCTTAACTTGATGACGGGATGTGCCCAGGACAGATTTGATCGAAATCTGCTGCATACCATCACGGAGGCCGGATTCACCGAAAATGTCAGAATGGATACTAGATGGGGCCCAGATGGGAAGTCTTCTAGACTGGATTACGTGCTCACTAGTGACCAGCTACTAGTGGAAAACGTTCAGATCACGACTCCCATAGGTAGTAGTGACCATGCGGTCATAACATTCGACATAGTCCTCCGCGAGCGTTTACAGTGGGACAATACACAGCCCTATCTGTGTTATAACAAAGCCAATTACACCGAAATGCGAAGACTTTTGTCTGAAGCAAATTGGCCAAAAAATTGGACAGAGCTTACAGTAGAAGAACACTGGAGAGTGGTAAAGGAGATCATTCACCAGGCGATCTCAGACACTGTTCCTTTGGTCACACCTAAAGCTAGAAAGCAACGTTCATGGCTAAAAAGGGGGACACAACGCCTTCTACAGGCGAAGCGAAAAGCCTGGTTTGCGTGGCGAGTATCGCAGAGTCAACCCGAACATGAAGAGTACCTCGAACTCAGGAATCGGTGTAACATACGAGTCCGGAGTGATAGAAGGACATTTCAGAGAAACCTCGCCAATAAGCTTCTCGTGAACCCCAAAAGCCTATACAGGTTTATGTCTGAAAGAAAACCGACCAACCAGGGAGCTTGCAATATAGTGGGTTCTGATGGGAAATCTCTTACTAGTCTTGAAATGGCAGAGACATTCAGTCTAGCCTTTCACAGGCAACTGAACAGTAACGAGGATTTTACCCTCACAAAACATCAAGATTACAATGCAAGACCAACGTGCGAAAACCTGCTGGGTACATTTCAAATTACCCCGGCTATGGTACTCATAAAATTGGGAAAGTTGGCTTCGGGAAAGTCTGCAGGTTGCGACGACATAAGACCATCCGTCCTGAAGCAGTGTTCAGAAAGTCTCTGCCAACCCCTAAGTGATCTGTTTCAACACTCCTTTGATGTAGGGAAACTTCCATGTGAATGGAAACGAGCCATCCTATCTCCTATCTTCAAGGGTGGTGACCGGCAGAACGCGACCAGTTACAGACCAGTTGCGCTACTCCCAGTGATATCGAAGATATTCGAAAGTCTCATTGACGACCACATGAGAAAATACTTCGACGGGACTAACCTACTCCATGAAGCACAGCATGGTTTCAGGAAGGGAAGATCCTGTGTGACGAATCTTCTACTAGCTTGGAACGATTGGACACTATCCTGGGATGTAAAGGTACCAGTCCATGTGATCTTTCTCGACTTTGCGAAAGCATTCGACACAGTTCACCATGGTCTGCTCCTTCACAAAATAAGCAAAGCGGGTGTTTCTAGAGCACTTCTCGCATGGCTGGAAGATTATTTAGGCGAGAGAGAATTCTGCACCAAAGTCAACCGCATCCGATCATCCTGGCACACCTCGGCATCAGGGGTTCCTCAGGGTTCTATCTTAGGGCCGTTGATGTTTTTGATTTTTATCAATGACCTGCCCTGTCAACTGAATTGCTCTGCGCTTCTTTACGCTGACGACGTAAAGATTTGGAGAGCAATAAACTCATCGGAAGACTCCGACAGATTGCAGGCTGACCTGCAAACGCTGGGGGACTGGGCTCTGGCTAACGGAATGCCTTTCAACTTAAAGAAGTGCAAAGTAGTGCAACTTCATTCCGGCAGGTCACAGAGTGCAAATTACACCCTTGGTGGCCAGAACTTGAGTTGTGTGCCATCAGAACGCGATCTAGGCCTTATTTTAACAGAAAAGCTAGACACCAGTGTAAATTACACGAGGGACGTCGCCAAAGCTTACGGCACTTTACACTTTATGCATAGGCAACTGGGAGCTCTTACTCCTGAACTATTCCTAACGTTGTATACGACATACGTGAGGCCACTCCTTGAGGTGCATAATATCATTGCTCCTCCGCTACTCAAAAGGGATGCTAACATGCTAGAAAGTGTCCAGAGACGAGCGACAAAATGGGTGATCGGCCTCCGCAACAAATCATATGAGGAGAGACTGAAGAAATTAAGTCTTTTCACACTTAGTTACCGTAGTCACAGGGGAGACCTCATCACCGTCTATAAGATCCTAAATGACCAGGCCCATCCTAACAAGAGCATCCTGCCATTAAGTGATTATAGGCTTCCACGAGGTAACCCGCTAAGGATAGCACACCAGAGACCAAGGACTCGAGTGCGTTCACATTTCTTCTCGCTTCGAGTTTGCCGTCTCTGGAACGCTTTACCGGCGGCCGTAACTACAGCTCCATCTGTGGAGATTTTTAAGCGGAAGCTGGACAATCATGCAGAAATGCATGGTTTGTGTCTCAATGGCTTACCCTCTTAAAATTTGAAACCACATTGTCAATGGATAAGCATACAAGCTAAATCCCCACGACCCGTCCTGTCTTCTCCCACTGTACCGACTACTCTATCTTTCTTTCTTTATTATTTCACTTATCTCAACCTATATTATCTACACTACAACCTATTATTATCATTATCATTATTATTATTATTACTCTACTTTTATGACTATACCGAATGACCGACGGGTGTTAGGTCAAACTCCATTCACGGCAGCAGCTGAGTCCTAACATACTGCACACTACAAACCACAATCTTGACCAATCCTCGCATCACTCCTCCTGGAGTCTACCAGAGCTAAAGCAGTCGAGTGGCGGGATTTACTACGCATAAGTTCACCGAAGATCTGGAACCTCTACCTTAAAATCAAGAAGCGAGCTCAAAGAAATCACTGGTTTATACTAGCTCGTAATCAGGATATTGGATATTGGATATTGGAATAGTTACAAAACGTACGATTTTCAAATTGTGGAGTGGTGTGTCCCTCTTTTGTTGTCTTGTTTTGTTTCTTTTCGACTTTTTAGAGAAAATAAGTGTATTATAAAAGATGACCTTGAATTTACCAACTATATTCTAGGTGTAAAATGGCATTTATTTAGAAACAAAATTACATATATAATGCCTTATAAATATTTATAAGGCATATATGTAATAAAACTGAATTATTAAGGGTGTATATCTGTAAGATGCTGGGATATCCCAGCTAGCATTTTCTTTGGGTGCACTGCAGAATCTTCGAGCGCATTGCAGAACGTGGGACAATGACCCGAAGTCTGCTCCTGAAGTCAATGCTAGCCGGGATTTTATCAGATTTTTGACAAAGTAACTTGACTGTATTGTCATCATTATTCCTGGTGGGACATGAGGCTTCAACAGCACATCTCCATTTCATCCATCCTGTTTTCTGTAGTCCTCTGAATCTGAATCTGTTTCACGATTGCTTTCATCTTCTCCTCCATGTTACACTCAAAGTGAAGCTTAACTCGTAATTTCCCGTTCAGGTTCCACTCAACGGTTAGCCTGGTATACAGTGTCAGTCATCGGTGTCTCCTCAACGTGTGTCTAATCCATATCTACTTCTTGGGCAGTAAGTTCCTGGTTGGTTCATTCCAAGAGTTCCTTGTTGCTTACTTGTTATGGTTAGTCAACTAATCTTCAGTATGAAGTATACATCTTCTGTTATAAGCTCGAAGCCTGTTGAAAATGCTCTCCAAAAGCGTACATAAAAAGTTTTCAAACCATATAGAGAGGAGCACTGACTAACATGATAATGTTGAAAATATGAATCCCGTTCGTTTTACTAAGTGCAGTAGATTCCCCTCATTGTTTCCGAATCATGAATATCTGTCTTGGTTTACTGATCGTGTCTTAAGACATCAAACGATAAAGCTACCTATTGAGGAAATTATTTTAGGAATTCAGTTATGCCTCACATCTACTAACTTTAAATTTCATGGCGAAATATATAGACAAACAGAAGGTGTAGCAGTGCGATGGACCACCAACATCCCCTATCGTAGCAGATATCTTTATGGATAGCTAAGAGAATATAGGTTTTAATACATTTTATCCTACTCCAAAGACATGGTGGAGATATGTGGATGACACTTGCACACACAGTGTTAAAAACTGAACATATCTCTAGCTTCTTAGCACACATATAAACTCACTAATAGAGGCAATAAAATTCACATTTGAATCTGAAAATGAACAAGGATAATTAGCTATGTTAGATTGTAAAATAAAAAGAACAGAAGAAGGTAAACTGCACACTAGCGTTTATAAAAAGCCAACGCATTCTAATATTGAAAATTTAGATTTTAATTCATCTCATCTGTTGTCTGTAAAGGTAGGCTTAGTTAAGTGTCTAACAAACTGTGCAATAGCACTAATTAGTACAACAAAAGACCTAAATGATGATATAAAACAGATAGAAGAAGCATTGTTGTTCAATAACTATCCTATAAAATTCATTAGGAAGATCAGAAAAGGTCAAAGGCAAAATGAAAATAATGGGGAAACAAATGATGATAACAGAAATAAGAGAGAATATAAGGCATCTACAGTGGTTTTATCATATAAGGAGGGGACATCTGAAACCCTACTTGGGATTTTTAATAAAGCAGAAGGTAGGGTGGCATTTTAACTTACGAACTCACTCAGGGACCATCTCTGTAGGTTAAAGGATTGTGTTGACCTAATTCAACAAAATAATACAATTTACAAAATACCTTGCAATGACTGTGAGTTAGTTCAAACCAGTAGATTAGGGGTAGTGAGATTGTCTGTGTAATAGAACAACACAAACAATTATACAGGTCAAGCACGCAGGGTAGAGCGGAGAAGCAGAACACGACTTGAGGAAAAGCACTTTATAATTGACACTGAATTACACCAACAGAAGTCCAAAAATATACACATGTAGGTACAAAGAGCTAGGCTTTTACAGTTCAGCGTCCACCGGTTTTCGAACTGACTCTTCCTTTCAAATTTGAACCACTACATCTGTCAGAAAATAAGAATTTAGTTAGGGTTAGAATGATCGACCCCACAAAGATGAGTAATTTAGGGATAAAACTCAGCAATCGCACCGCATTCATTAACAGGCAACTACACAATAGGGTGGGACAGAGTTGCAATTCTAGAAGGTAATAAAAGTGGGTGGAAAGAAACGCTGATTGCTGAATCTCTGTTCATCGATTCTACACTCAACACATGCTATAGAAATGACTCAGCGAAAATACTAGAGATATGGATAATATTTTACTAGCAATCAGATCATAGGATAAGAAATAATCTCAAATTCTACTTTTATTTCAATTTACGTTATGACACTGTAACATTTTATTTTACAGATGAAATATCTTATTCCCCATTTTGTTGACTAACAACACTCATCTTATTCCCCATCTCATCATATTTCAGTGATAACACTAATGTTATTTTCGATTATATTTTATCATCCTTTCTGTTTTGCGCATGTCTGTTGAACTTTATATTGACATTTATTTATTTATTCATATATCTAATCAATTCTCCACTCATTTATGTGAAGGAAGTTAGAAAGTTGTGTGAGTAACTTGATGATATGATTGTGAGCAGCAATAACTTGTGCTGTAAACGTTATCGGTGAATATTTCTGTATAACATTGCGAAACTTTGTGAAAATAAATTTCTTTTGGATACATAGAGTAGGCTTGAGTTTTGGATATGTTTCTCAATGAACGTCTTATGTACCTAGCTCAACAAGAGCAGCTGAATATAAATACACATGGAATTAGACAATCGAGGTAAAATTTCCTTCACATCAAGGTACACTCACTTGACGGCTAGTGTAGGCTATTCGTAAAGTGACAGCAAAGAACGTTCTCCTCAGGGATGTTGTCAGACGATTAGGTGCCTCACTCGCACCATCACCCCCAAAATCCTAAGTTTAAGTGCCAAACAGTTTTTTAGCTACCTTGCCCCTCTCTGTATTTCTTTCACGTAATTTGCTATTGGCCTCGAAGAAGCGTAGTGGATACTCGTTCTCTATTAAGGCTTCTTTCAACTGTTTGAGTTCGTCATCAACACTGTCATTGCTACGAATTATCCCTACCCGTGTTGAGAGAGAACGGATTAGACTCCTTTTTCTGTGTACAGAGACAAAACCGCATTTGTCTTTTGGATGACCCTTATTTATCTGGTTATTCATTCGTATATATCCCACCAATTGTGACTCATAATCATGTACACTAATATTATTGCACTTTAGTAACTCCATTCACTGTCAAACGTTAACACACATACACACACACAAGAAAACCGATTGCTGTCGTCTACTGTAATTTACATATATATTCTCTTAGGATCTGTCTGAGTGGAAAATATGGCTTCAGCAGTGCATCATCATTTCACTTTGCGCTCCACGATTGTCCGTAAGCTTTCGCTTCTTTCTACAAGATCACCCTTCATTTTACAGTCAGACTCCTAACCTCTAACCATGCATTCTGGTCCACATTTAGGGCCTGGCTAACGCATACGATGTTACACAATAGACTCCTCAGCTTATACCCAATTCGTCGTCTTCCTTTGCATATGTTGCATATGTGATTTCCCAACATTGTTGTTGATCCTTTCTGGTTAGCCATTTAGTCTTTAGTATTGAACGAATGCAGGAGCTGTTGATGACGTAGTCTGAAGCAGCCTGTCCGACATACTTCGGTGACGTCCACACCAAGCATCTGAACCATACAGAAACACTGACTAACTGACTTCGCATTAGTGTTGAAAACTCGGATCTTACTCGTTATGTTGAGTAGAGTAGATTACCACACTGCGATTTCACACAGTAACGCAGGCCTATCTCCAACCTACCAAAGGAAGTGAAGTCAAGATATCTAAGAATAGCTGAAGCACTGGCGATCCAAAAACTCAAGCCTACTGTGTGTTTCCAAAAGAAAATAAATTTGTAGGATGATGTAAGTTTAGCATTTTATATGCATTTATTTTTGGTATATGGTCTATATAGTAATAGATTTTATTGATAATTTCACTATGTTTCCAGCAGGATTTATGACCATGGTTATAAGAATTTTTTTAATGTAATCACAGGACTTATTAATTGGCTTTACATAGTTTAGTGAGTTCGCATGCTATGCTTATAAGGAGTGATAAATTGTGCTCTGAGTGTGATTTAGTTTTTATATTATTTATTTTCTTGTGCATTTTTTTTCAAGTAAACTTATCTAATATGAGTTATTTAAAGTTGAAAAGCAAGTTGTCTCTTGCAGTCATTTGCTGCAGGTAGCACAGTTCAAACTGAAGGTGGTACGGATGAAGATGTTTAGAGGCTGTACGGAGTATACTAACGCAAGATCTTATACCAACAACTTCTATAGTATTCATTCCTCGTGTACCAAAGACAAAGCAAAACGCCACAAATGATCGTCCAAAGTACGAGATATATTTCGGGACCAAATCGTGGACTGAAGTGAATGCTTAGCTGGCTAGTGATCGTGCACGCAGGTGACACGACGGAGTACCAAAGGGCATGGATGCTTTACCGGGAGCCTTCAGCTGAACAAGTCGACTTAAACAGTGAGGGTCAGCATCCAATGTTCAGTGATGATTGTGGTGGTCAATAATTTTGGGGAATTATTTACCGCTACAAATGTCTAAGTCCACCAAGATGCGAAACGTGAGAGACAGGCCTTCATTACTGTGTGAAATCACAGCGCGGTAATCTACTCTACTCTACTCTACTCAGCATAACGAGTAAGATCCGAGTTTTCAACACTAATGCGAAGTCAGTTAGTCAGTGTTTCTGTATGGTTCAGATACTTGGTGTGAACGACATAAAAGTATGTCGGACAGGCTGCTGCAGACTACGTCATCAACAGCTCCTGCATTCGTTCAATACTAAAGACTAAATGGCTAACCAGAAAGGATCAACAACAAGGTTGGGAAATCACTTAAGAGTGTGCTACACCCAACA